ACAATGGAGAATTGGGGATTTGTTTCCCCAGCTCAAAATCTGAGGACCAAGGCCCTGCTGAAGTCCAGGGGAACCCAGAGACAACAGCCACAGAAGGTTGGCCACAAAAGCTGCCCCCCCCCCGCAGAGGGAGGAAGTGAAAAGCATAACCCAGACACTTCAGCAGATGCACAATGGTACCCTCAGATTAAAAAAAAGAGGATTTCTGGAATCAAGCAAGGTCTCCTTTTAGGTTCCTTTCCTCCTTGCTCATCACCATTTGATGCCAGGAAAAGCAGCACCTGTTGAACTAAAGCATTCCAGTCTGTGCCAGGTTGCAAATAAGTATAATGGATATGAATAAGGGTAGGCAGCAATGGGATTGACTGATTGACTGATTGATTTCAATGGGACTCTGGGCAGTTTGCAAAATAACTAAATAACAGAGCTGTACAATAAAACCTCTGAGGTGCATCTGTAAGATAAGCCAGCAAATCAAAATAAGAATGAGCTTTGTTTGTAACCAGCCACCTTCTTTTAACTTGAAGCCATCCCCTGTGGGTAGTCTGAATTTCAGTATGTAATACTGAACTATCTAAATTCATACACTAATACATAAACAATCGCAGAATACTGGGTTGAGTGAATCTTGGTTGACTGCCGATGGGGGTCCCCCCCCCGCTATCTCTGAAACAGCTGAAAATGTCAAAGCTTTATGTATGGTGTGGAATAAGGTATTTTCTCTGTTTCTCTTCATCCTAGAATCCCAAACAAATATATACGTGATTGCTTGGGTGACAGATGAAGACGTCACAGCAGAATTGCTAAAGTTTTATTTATTGAACTTTTCACCACCCCACTAAAGCAGGAACGTGAATCTAGAATAAAAATAATCGAGTTTCTTCCACCTGGCTTGCCTGCAAAGCTTTGGAGCATGAAAAACATGGCAAATGTGATGTCAGCAAATGAGGGGCAGAAGAAAGCAACATTTGCTGAAAGTCCTTCTAACGCACAACCAGTAAAAACAGAAAGCCTTATCCCCCCCCCCCCCGTCTCAGCTACCTTTTGAGACAAAAAAAAAACCTGAAATGCGGGGAAACTGTACCGCGCAGGCAAATGCAAATATTATGTACAAATAACAGCCGCGCTCCACACATATGAGGATAAATTTTACGGACTAGCATCTTTATTGTTACTTTTGCCACCTTCCGTGGCAAATCTCGTTAATCCAAACGCGATCCTCCCCCCCCCCCGATTCTACGTTTCGGTTTGAGGGAACAATAAGGCCTCCCGGCCAGTTTTGGGGTTCCCTATTTCTGCCTCTTAGGAGTGGAGCAGACGAAGAGGGCTCGTGCTTGGGTCTTCGTCAGCAGCAGCAGAAGCAGCAGCAGAGCATCAATCTTCCTTGCTTGCGCTTCACTGGACCCCAGCCCCGCTTAACAAGGGAAATTCCAATAAAGGAGAATGCTTGTAGCTCAAGGTTGCAATGAGGGGTTTCATTACCCAAACTCGGCAACACCACGAATGCACTGGTATTGTTACCTTATTTGGGTAACGAAACGTGTGCAAGAAAAACGGCCAAGCTCAGAGAGCACCAAGGACCCCTCAAAAGGAATTCCTGCCGACCAGATCAGTTGGTCTCCAGCTTTTATTATTATTATTATTATTATTATGGATTATCGCACAGTCAGCCAGATGTTCAGACTGGATTTGGCATTTTGTCTACCTATCGAGTCCTTACCCAGGACCTGGGATAGGCAGATGTGGATGTTTGATGGTATTACAGGTATGGTCGCAGGATGGAAGCAGTTCCTAATAAGGCCGCCTTTTGCAATTGACTAATAACAAATTTGTCAATGCCAATGGTGTTCAAGTGGTGCTCCAGTTGTTGTTGTTGTTGTTGTTGTTGTTGTTGTTATTATTATTATTATTATTATTATTATTATTATTATTATTATTATTATTATTATTATTATTCTTATTATTTAACAGCACCGTCCCACAGATTCCGGATTGCTTGGGTCACGGGCGCAGGGAAGCCTTTTCTAAACGAGTAGCTCAGGACTGGAACTCGCTCTCTACTCCCACTTTCCGCTTCGGCCTTTGCGCCCCGAGAGCTTTTGTCTCGTTCATCTAATCCCCCGAATGGATGGGCCGCCGCCGTTGGGGCAGAAAAAGGGGGAGAAAAGTGAAAGCAGAGGTCATTCCCCCCTTCTCATTTCGCCAACTGGAGGGCTGGAGGGGCGGATAGAGAGAAGGGGGAAATTACAGGGAGGAGAAGCAGAGCTAATACGCCCCGGAGCGACCTGCTTCTGGCTCTGCGCGTCCTGCCAACATTAAGAGTATAACCCCCCCCCCACTCGCTCGCCTTGGCCGTGGATCACGTGCGAACACAGCCCTCTAAACCTGCGATTGATCCGACCATTACGCGCTTGCTAGAGGGTTAAGACCTCGGCGTCCCGCTGTTCAAACGGCCAGGCGCCTAACGGGACGATGAGTAGAGTTACGAGGGGACCCGCCGTCTCCGAGATTGGGTTAAATATCTGTTTTCAAAAGAATTTGAGAACGGGCGGCCCAAAGTTCGTTGCCTTCTATCTGCCCGGCTCGTTTCATCGGGAGAAAGGAAAGTGCACCTTCTGGAAAGAAAAGAGCGTTTCAGGGCTCGGGGAGAGCCGAAGCTGATGGGACAGACGCCCCGCCAGATGGGAGGCAGCCAGCGGTCCTCCAGTCCTCACGTTGGTACAGCTGCAACATTAAATCCCGCGACTTCAACGGGGTTCACTTTGGGAGCTGGGCCGCGGGGCCAGATCCGCTTTCTTTGGAGACCAGAGTCAAGCTAAGCACCTTTTGGGGACTTAAGGAGAACAGTCATATACCAACCCATATACACACACGCTTTCCAGTTACGTCGGACTACATTGTCCATTTTCCCCGGCCAGAGGGTTCGCAATAGCCAATACACCCGGAGGGCAAAAGTGGGGAAGTTTGCCGGAGGCTCTCCTTGTTATGGAGCAATCGCAGCACGTGGTGCAAGAGAAAGTGCGCCTTTTAAGAGCCTTAACGACGCCTAAAAACTCTTCCTTCTCTGCACTTAGAACTGCCGTGCAGAACGTCGGAAGCCGGTTCTGTTTCTTTTTTTTTTTCCTTTTTTTTCCTATTTTTTAAAACTTTTTTCTGTTTTCTTGCATTTTTTACTTTCTCTTCGATTTTTTCCCTTTTCTTTTTCTTCCTTTATACTAGTTTGTATTAGTTATCTTTAGTTTTCAATAACAATCTTTTTTTTAAAAAAAAAAAAAACCTTCTTCGAAGTTCTCGGTTTTCCGGATTTCATACAGCCAGAAAAGAAGGAAGAGATCACTGCATCTGTAAAAACATCAGGTTCCCCCCCCCCTCCGTTTCTACTTTAGCTGAGTGTTCAAAACTAAACCGAACTAAATATAAAACAGCGACGAGTGGTCCTTGGGAGCGTTTAAAGCGGTCTGTCTAATTTGGTGTCCTCCAGATGATTCGGGTTAATCTCCCATTATCTTTTAGCCAGAGCACCAACCGCCCGAAACAGAAGTGGGAAACAAAGGGGGAGGCTTTGATCTCGCTATGTTTCCTTGCTAACAACTTCGGCCTCCCTCCCCCTCCCAGTGCGGGGGCTTCTACAACCCAGTGGGGTTTCTGCGTGGCAGCCGTTCATGGGGCGCTTCCAGGCAAAGGTCCCAAGGCTGCTTTCTCCCCCCCCCCCTTTTTTTTTCGGTCAAAGAAATCCTGACCCCGCTCCCCTGAAGTGGCAATTTTGGGCGCCGCCTAAGAGATTCTGTGGCGGAAAACCAATCCCAAACAGAATAGCTCGGTGCCGACAAGCCCACTGGACCGGATGCCGGAGAAAAATCTCCCGGCACTCAGGCGAAGCCACTGGACCGGAGACGGTCGGTCCAGGCAAATTTAAAGGTTTCCAGCCGGGCGGGCTGCAACGGTCGGTGTAATTAAAGTCGCGACTCGGGTCGCCTTGGGTGCTTTCCCCTCCCCCCGGCAGAAAGCGGAAACTTTTTGAAGTTTCTCATCCCAGCGAATGAGCGAGTCTCGCCCCCTTTTGCATCCTTCGAGGGGGCAGCCGTTGACACCCCACCCCAAGCACCATGGGGCTGCGCCTGGGGGGGGGGTGGAGGGTTCCGAGCCTGGGCGAGGGGCTGCGCACGACGATGGGAGGGGGCAAGCGGCGTTCAAAGGAGGCCCATGAGAGGGAGGGGCGGCCTTTGCCTCCTTTGCCCCCCTCCCTCCTTCTTCGGGCTCCCCGCCGCCCCGGCGCTGTCAGCACCAGGCTCGTCTTCCCGCGCCTTCTGCGGGCTTCGGGACTGAGTTTCGGGCTCTCCCTGGGCTCCGTCCCTGGTCATTCCAAAGGGCAGTCTTCTCAGGCTGCAAACGGCTACGCCGGGGAGCTTGGATGAAGGAAGGTGCAGTCCAGCACTTTGAGAGGACCCCCACCTCAGTGGGAGCTGCGGATGACCTACCGGTCTGGTTTTGGATCCTTTTTGACCTTTTTAATAACTACCGTTATTTTTTGGGGGTGGGTGGGTTGTTTCTCACGACACAGTGAGGCGTAAGCCGGCGTTTCAGCCCAAGCTCTTTCAGAAACCCGCCTCGTGGAGCAGGCTTTAATCCCGAGTCAGTAGAGAAAGAGGTGCTTGCACGCGTCCTCTACTGCCCACGACCTTCTTGGCCGCTTGTCCCTCAATCTGTTCGGGTTATAGTTATTCGGCGCGCTGTCGTTTTCCTGGTCTAAGAAAGCGAACTGGTCTCATTCTCTTAGGGAAATCGAGGGGGTGGGGGGTGGGCGGCGGTCGGGCCCGCTCGCTGCTTCTGACTTTTACATTTGCCCCCCCCCCACTACCACACACACACACACCCTGTATCTGCCCCACTCCCTCTGGGTCCCCCTGATCGCTCGGAGCCGGTCGCTCGGTCAAAGGGGAGGGGCAGGGAAGGTGCTTTTTTTAAAAAATAAAAAATGAAAAAAACGCCCAGCTCGGAACCAGGAGAAGATCTTTTATTGGCCACCAATGAGCGCCCTGCCAGCTCTCAAGTCCGCCCGTTCTTCCTCGGGCGAGTCAGCCGCCAAAGAAACCCGGGGGGGGGGCGGAGTAGGCGTGAGGTAAGAGCCCCTAAACTTGTAGCTTGAAAAGGGCAGAGAAAGACTTCAGATCCCCTAATCTGGCCTCTGCCTGGAGTAGAGCCGTTCTTCACTTCAGGGGCGATCCGGTCGAGAGGTGGATGCCGGTGCTTGCAGCCCCTCTCCGCATCACTTTCACTCAGTAGTGAGGGAGGGAGGCAGATTCCCTCCCTCCCCCCCCCCGGACTGGTCAGCTATGGCAAGAGAGCGGCGGCGTAAGGACAAAGCTCCCTTTCAGCTCTTTCTCCTCTTTTTGCCAAGAAGCGCGCGCCGGGGGGGGGGAGGAGTTTACAGGGGATCGTCTCTCGAGGCCCGGAGCTTTGATCAATCCGAACTAATTACCCTCGAGTCTTAATTAAACTCTTTTAGCAGTTAGATCCGTGGCTTGGCAAGCGGACAGGACCGTTTCGTAGTTAGACAACACCCGCGCCCGGCTAGGCTTCTCGAGGACCCACGTTGGCACCTCTGCTACTTGGCTCACCTTCCGAGGTTGGTGGGCGGGCGACCCCCAGAGGAATCCCTTCCCTCGGCCCCTCCTCCTTGCCAGGCAGGAGAAACAGCCACCGTTTTTCCCGTTTTTAAAGAGGCGAGCCACCTCTTTTATTTGCCACCAAATCCACCACCCCCAGTCCCTGGGTTTTTGTGTTTTTTTTTCTGCACGTGCAATAATCATAATTATAATAATTTAAAAAAATACAACTGGAAATTTCAGAATCCGTACAAACCTCCACAAGGGGTAGAATAGGACGGTCGGGGAAGTGGGAAGGAGATGAAAGGTGGGTCGCGGGAATGGCGAAGGGGGAAAAAAAGGAGAAGCGACCCACAAGGGAGAAATCGAGAATCCGGGGGACAAACAGAAGCGACCAGCAGGCAAAGTCAACCAACACAGCGGGTGATAAAAATCTCTATGTACAGCAAAGGAGTCTGGAGGACGCCTAAACGGGGATTGTCAGATCCAAGGGGACACGGTGGAGGCCTCCAGGAAGGAGATGAGGGCGGGATTTCCCCCCCCCTCGAGGGTGCACTGGAGTACTTTCAAGGTATTTAGCGACAAAATTGGGTCTTTCTCGGTAAGACACTCAAACCCGCGCACGTATCCATTCACACATGCAGTCCAGGGAAATCTTTGGGATTGTCCTCGGAGAAAGGGACACCGCAGAAGGAATGGGCCCCCCTCGACAAGAAACCTAACGCGGGTTCCCCTTTTTCTTTTGGACTGGCCTTTCAGGTCAGCTATTTCTGCAGCGCGGGGAATCTGCCGGGATCCTCAAGCTAGTGAAGGAGCCAAGGAGATCGGGCAGCCAAGGGGGGTGGGCGCCTTGGATACCATAAAGAAGCGCCCTTGTGGTTCAGCTTCGTTGGAAAAGAGGCACCTTGGCCCATTGGGGCAAAAAATCAGTCTAGTAGCCCCTTTTTTCTCATGGGCACGTTTCATTTAGAGGCCTAACATTTCGGGAAAGGGGCTACCAGGCCCCTTCAGGAATTCACTGCACCCCTTAAAACAGTCCGCCTATCAAGGGAGTCTACCGAGATCCACATTCGGGTCTTGGGTTAAACCGATTTACAGAACGACGCCGATCCAGGTAATTCAGAGAAACGGGACTGAATTTCTCTTCCCGGGTTCTATATTAGGAGTAGGAAACAAACAGGGAGCGATTTTGCTCCCCTTCTGGATTCAGGACCAGGTCTTTGGAAGGACCATACAGGGGCCGTCTTTTTAGGGAGGAGGGGAGCGCATCCTCTTCGCTAGTGACTGCGAAGGGACCGCCCGGGGGTTAGGATGCCCGAAGTATTTGCTTCCAGGAAATGCTACTGGGGGACAGGGAACTCCCAAGGGCCAGCTGAGGAGCCTGCTGAGTTCCTGGCCAGGTGAAAAACTAACTCTGGACTTCGGTGTCCGGAGGATCCCACTCCGCCTTTTTCTTTCTCCAGCACTTGGAAAAAATAGAAACTTGAAAAAAAAAAAAAACTAGAATCGAAAGTGCTTCCTTCCAAAGCACGCGCCTCTTCATTTGCTTCCTACTGGCTGCGAAGTCTCGTTGGGGGAAAGGAAAGGAAACGGGAAAGGAGACCACGTGGAAAGGCAGGCATTCTCTGACATTCTGCATTTTGTCACCAGCACCCCTCTCCTTATCGGGCGAGCTCAAGCACCGTCAGTCCGCAGAGTCAGCCTTGCTGCTCCAAACACACGGACACACACATACACACACACATGCAGGAACAACCGAGAGAGAAAGAGATTGCCAAGGCGTCCGAGTTACAGAGAGGGCCGCGGCTTGGATCTGGCAAGGCTCAATAAATACATGCCCGGAGCGCCGCCCTCCGCAAATCGTGGGGGGGGGGGAGGGCGGCGGTTGCAGTCTTTTTGCTCCCCCTTCCCCCCCCCGGCAGCAATCAAGGAGCCGAAGTTCACGGAGTCCCGCTGCTTCTGCCAGCAGCAGCGCGGCTTCCTCGGGAGCGAGTGCGAGAAGCCGGGGGAACGCAGCCGGCGCAGAAGGGCGCGCCCGGGGCGCTTCACGGACGGTGAAGCAGCGGCGGCGGCGGCAGGTCTGGCTCGCTGCTGCCTCGAGGGAGCCCCAGGGAGGCGCCCCCGCCGCTGTCGTGCAGTTTGCGGACGTGTTTCTTGAGGTCAAAGTTCCGGCAAAAGCCTTTCCCGCAGGTGGGGCAGGTGAAGGGCTTCTTGTCGTTGTGGGTGTGCATGTGGAAGGTCAGGTTGTAGACCTGGTGGAAGGCCTTGTTGCAAATGGTGCACTTGAACTGCTTCTCGCCGCTGTGAGTCAGCTTGTGGTTTTTGTAGTTCCCTATAATAGTAATAGTAGCAGTAGTAGTAGCAGTAGTAGTAGTAGTAGTAGTAGTAGTAGTAGTAGTAGTAGTAGTAGTAGTAGTAGTAATAATAATAACAACAACAAAAACAATAATAATGCAAAATCACCATCGGTCAATCACAAAAGCCAGCTTTACGTGGAACAGCTTTTAATACTATCAGATTTCCGTGTCTTCCTATGCTAGGTCCTTGGGAGTTGGCGGATAAAAATGCCCAATCCGCTCTAAAGGTTTGGCTAATTTCGATGAACTCTAATAATACGACGAAACGGGGGTTCTGTAACTCAGCTCGCATACTTTCTTTCACGGGTCTGCAACTCACATCTTAGCCAGCCTCACATCTTAGCCAGATCTGCGAACAGTTTCATTCACACAACTTGCTGACTTCATGCCCTGTATGCAGGTTTCCCTCGTGACAAATATTTAAGTTGGGTTTCTGTGGTTTGCCTGCTACTCTTTGAACAGAAAACTTTGTCACAATGGAACAGAATTTCACCCTGATCTTGAACAGGGAGGAACCAACCCAGGCGCAAAATCCCAAACTGGAATCTCCCAAAGTTTTGGATCCAATCACTGAATAGATTTTTGAGGGATTCACAGGGTTCCCCAGGTAGATCAGTTGAAATCGGTTTTCCTTAGCATCCCATTCCTGAAATGTCAACCGCCAGCAGCGGAATCAAGCCAACGAAATTGAACAATTTTGTCCTTTGTTAAATCAGGATGCAAGGATGCACAGACATTTTGTTTTAACTGGCTGTAAAGAAATAAATTCGCTTTTGTCAGAACAAAGTTCCGAAAAGTGAACTATAAAACTTTCCAGCGAAAATAGCGTACATGTTTACATAGCCGTTGTAAACAGTGAGGTTTAATCCCAAATCGGTAACTCTGTTTTTAGGATTTTATCTTCTGTTCTTTACAGATCCGGCTAAAACGGTAACGGATATTTTTCTCAGAAGAAATGGAAGAGTTAAAAAGAATAGGAGGGCTGATTTCCTCTAAGCTTAACTTTGTTCTGTGGGGAATAAATCCCATTCACTCTTGAATTACTCTTCAGTAACTGAAAAAAAGCCAACCTTAATTTAGACATTTCTGAATAGGGATATCTTTGTTGTTGTTGTTGTTGTTGCTTTCTGACAAAGGGACAGTAGACTGAGAATTTTCTCAGACTGCAGTACAAGTAGCACGGTAGTGCAAAATCGTGGAACTTATTTCCAAGTAAGCATTCTTTTGTAAAGAATTGTAACTGTGAAATTACAGTTATAATCATGCTTAACATTTAAAAATCAAATAAATTTCTTACTCTACCTGCCCGATTAAATATATCGAAAAATAAAACTTAAAAGATTAGATATAAGGCAAAACCTTATCGGTTTTGTGCAGAAATGGACAGCAACGGTTTCCCACATCTGAGAAACCAACGTCAAAAACTTTTTACATTTACAATTTCATATATTTCTATATATACATTTTTTTTGTATTTACATTTTCACGGTGCCATTTCCCTATTACTCTTCTCTGAAACCAGACGCGCTGAATCCCAGTTCCGTGGCTGGGAACGGTAGTTTTAGGGCAGAATCTGCTGCTGGTTTACTTGTCAGGCCTCCCACCAGAAACAAATGGGCAGCCCCCCCCCGTCCCTCCCCCCAATCCATTCCAGCTGCAGGCTCCCTTTTACAGCGATAATTCAGAGCCAGTCCTTGTTTGACACCCTAACCTCAGCGGTTTGGTTTACCTTTTTGGTGAAAGCCTTTCCCGCAGAACTCGCAAACGAAAGGTTTGTAGCCCGCGTGGATGCGCGTGTGGGTGTTTAACGTGGAACTCCGGTTAAACGCTTTCCCGCACTGGTTGCACTTATGGGGCTTTTCCTGTGGGGAGAAAAACAACATCAAAAGCACATCCACGTTCAGATGCGCGCTTGGGAGAAACGGGGCCGCACCTGGTCCTGGTCATCCCGCGGCTGTAGGGTGATGTAAAGAGCAACAATCGCGGGCTTGAATTTAGCCATTGATCTCCTATCCCAAAGGCTCGTTTGAATGGGGCCCCACCCTCCTGAAAAGGCAGCAAAGGGGAGGAGATGAGGTGGGGCTGGCTCCGAAGGGGAAAATCTGTGGCCTCAGCGCACTCGGGGTGTGCTGGGACTCTCTCGAGGGACCGAAGCCGAGTTCGAGCCCTCAAGAGTTTACTAGACTAAAATGGATTTAAGGACGCCCTGTCCAGTGCGGAGTCTCCTTCACACAGCACTCTAAAACCTGAACCAAATTATTAGAGCACAATTCCTGCGTTCGCATTATCCGCCAGCCGGACACAAACCATAGCGTGGTTTAGTTCACACAACACATTAAGAGAAGGACTTAGATTTCCCCGAATAACGAACCGGTTGCGCACACCAAGGCCCTTATTTCAGACGAGGCCGGGAGATGGGGGGACATTTTCCCGAGCAAAGGAGTGAGAAACGAGCGGAAACGAAGCAAGACAAGAGAACCCCCATTCCTTCGTCTCTATGCGCCCCGTCGCCTCTCTTTCTCTTTCCAGCTCCTGATTTAGGCGAAGCGAGCATCGCAGAACAGAGGGAGAGGGAAAAGTGGGGCAGCCCCCAGAACCCCGACGGGGAATAAGGGGCAGGAAGGGCGGAGAATCCTGGCTGACAGCCTGGGAGTCTGGACCTCGGCCGGGCGGGGGGTGTCTTGGGGTCGCGGGCTCACCGGGACTCATCCGAGACCGCCGTTGGCCAGGTAGAAAAGCGGCCCCGTCAAAGAGGCTAACGCGGGAGGCGGCCGGGAGCGCTACCTGGGTGTGGATGATCTTGTGGCGGCAGAGGGTGCTGGCCTGGCGGAATCCTTTGCCGCAGACCTTGCAGATGAAGGGCCGGGCGCCCGTGTGCACCGGCATGTGGCGGGTCAGGTTGTAGTGCGCGTTGAAGACCTGCAAGAGAGCCAGGCGCGATCAGACGGGGAGGCCTGGTGGGGGGGGGGCGGGGGAGAGGAGGGGGCCACGCACGCGGGTCACTTGCCTTGCCGCAGACCTCGCAGGTGAAGACCTTGGGCTTGGCGCTGGGCGAGCCTCGGCTGAAGTCGGCCGACACTCCTTTGAACGGCAGCTTCTCCGACGCTAGGAGGTGAGCCGCGGCGGCGGCGGCAGCGGCAGCGGCGGCGGCCGCGTTGTGCAGCTGGGCCTGTGCTAGGTCCTTGAAGGCTGCCTGGGAGTATTTCTCCGGCCCGGACGGCAGCACCTGGAGCTTATTGCGCTCGGCCAGGTAGGTCTTGGGCGCCGTCGAGTCTTGCAAGGCGGGCGCCGGCAGCGGCGAGCCCAGGAAATAGGAGGCCACCGGGTGCAGGCTCAGGCCCGGCGGCTGCGGCTGCGGCTCTGCCGCCCGGCTGAAGTAGCTCAGGGCGCCCAGAGCGTGGAAGGAGGAGTGCTTGATCACCCGCGGCCGAACCAGCTTGTAGTGGGGCGGCTGCTGAGGCAAGCCGAGGGCCGGCTCGGCGGCCTGGGGCTTGAGGCTGAGCGCGCAGCCGAGAGCTGACGAGGCGGAGGACGAGGAGGAGGCCGGCTCCAAGGGGGGCTTCCTGGGCTCGGACCCCACCTTGGCGAAGGGCTCGTAAGCCAGCGGCACGAAGGGGATCATGCAGGGGATGGAGGGCCCTAGGCTGAACGCCGGCTGGTGCTGCTGCTGCTGCTGCTGCTGCTGCGGCTTCAGATGCTCCGCCGCCGTGGCTGCAGCCGCTTTGGGGATCCCGCCTCCCCCTGGTAAGAAGTGGGGCAGCAGCGGCACGGCTTGGGGTTCGGGGCCCGACCTGGCCATGATGCGCTCGATGGAGAAGGCCAGGGGCTTGGGCGCGCTCAGCATGTTGCCCCGCGCGACGGCGAGGCTCTTGGCCGCCGTCGGGGGGAGCTGCTGCTGCTGCTGCCGGTTCTTCTCCATGGCCGGCGTCTCGCTTGGGTCAGCGCGGTTCGGGATGCTTTGGCCCCGCTACGCCCGGTCACAGCGCGACAAGCAGGGAACCTCGTGCCGCCGCCGCCGCCGCCGCCGCCACTCGGGAACCCGACCTCAAGCCCTCCGAGGACGCTGCCGCCACCGGCGCCCTCCGCGTCTTCGTCGCCTGCGGCACCAGCAAGAGCTCCGGCAAGGTCTCCATCCCGGCAGCCGGCGAACGCCGCCTGCCCGTCCCGATGGACTCGCGCCGGCCCATCGCCGCCGCCGGTGTGCTTCCTTGGCGGGGGATGCTGGCACACCCCTCCTCCTCCGCCTCCTCTTCCTCTTCCTCGGCAGCGTCTCTCGCGGTTCCTCCCGCCGCCCCCCCCTCCCCGATGGAAAGTGTTGGGTCAATAGCAGCAGCCACGATCCCGCCAATCGCTAACTTCCAAGAAGGTAAATTAGATAATTGCTCAATTCGCGTCCAACAGGCATCGGGAGGAAGGGGGGGGGGGAGAGAGAAGTTGAGTCCCTCTTCCCTACCACCTCGGAGAGCCAGTGGCTCCTTTTCATTGGTGCCTGCGCTTCCCTCCGCCCTCCTCTCGGAAAGAAGGGGGGGTCGTCTCGCCCGTCCCCTCCCTCCCTCTAGATCGCCCCCGCTCTGGATCCCCCTCACCTCACCTCGCCTCCAATGGCCTCTTCTTGCTAGGATCAATCGGGGCCCCAGCCCCAGCCCCCCTCCTGGCAATCCCCCTCCCCCTCCTCCCATCAAAAGACCAAGGACTCGCGCGACCCGGTCAGCGTCGGGAGAGGTCCCGTGACGGACGGGCGCGGGTTTCTAAGCAGTGCTGAGCGAGCGAGCGAGCGAGGAGAAAGTTGCGTTGCCCACTCGCTGTCCCTTTCAGGCTGGGCGAGCCGGGGAGCAGGGCTTGGCTGCTCCGCCGCTGCCTTGCTGACTCGCCCGCCCGCTTCCCGTAGCGCTCCAGCGGGACCCCCGAGGCGGCGGCGGCGGCGGCTGGCTGGGCTCTGTAGAAACAGAGGCGAGGAGCGAGCGCTGCCCGGCCTCCCCGGGCATCTCATCCGCGAGGAATCGGACTCCTCGCGCCGAGTCCCCTTGACTCAGAGTTGAGTGGGGCAGGTCCGAAGAGGTGGTTCCCCTCGCGGACGAGGGGCTGCGCTTCCCTGTAGTGACGCCCGTTTCTTTGATCTGGGTCTCCGCATATTTGGCGGTGCCTTGACCTCCGCTCGGCCCGAAGCCCCCTCGATCGGAATGCGATCTGTCTTCTGGGCTCGCACCTCCCGGATCCTGGGAATGCGTGGATTTCTTGTAAAAAAAAAAAAAATCGAACCAACCATTCCCAATAGGATTTCTGCTTCCTTTCCCTATCCTGAGCTGGTTCTCTTCTTTCAATCCCGCAGAAAGCCCCGGTGGAGGGTGCGGAAGGTACATCCATCCCTGGGACGGGCCCCAAGGCATCCTCTTGCTAGACTGCTCCTGGGCCCTTTGAGGACGGCTGAGGGCAGCCTTTCGGCTCCGATCAGCCCTCCTTAGTACCTCCTGGCCCTTCAAGTAGCCCAGGCCAAGAGCTATATTAACCTGCTGCAAGAGAAAAAGGCCGCTCCGAACTGCAGTGAAAGAAAAAGTAACGGACCAAGAGTTCTCCTGGCCCCCAAACAGATTTCTTTTTTTTATTATTATTCGCGGGAAGACTAGGTTCAGTGGTACATTGGACGCTTGTTACTATTTATACCTTTTAATGGAACCACAGGAGAAACTGTCGCTGCTCAAAATTAGTGCATCACATCGACGGACCCCTGTTATCTTTCAGATCGCATTGGTCCACACCAGGGGTAGGCAACCTTGGCTCTTTTATGACTCATGGACTTCAACGTCCTCTCTTCTCCCCCGCCCACCTTTTTAGGATGTGCTTTGCCACCCTTTCCTTGCATTTCGACCTCTGCGAGACGGTTAATGGGAGCTCTCCCCTATAGCAGATGGGTTGGTGCTAACCTATAATTGCCAGCCTCTCCAGAGGGGTCGGGTTCCCTCTTTAAGCACCCCAATGCAACAAGGGGGGCGGCGGAGAGCAGGGCAAAGAGTCGATTGCGGGTCAAGCACTTCTACCTGTACAGTGCCTGGCAGGTAACATAATGCAACTTGAATTGAGACCTGGTTCTTGCTTAGTACAAAACGTGCTTGGCTGGCACCTTAGCGAAGACAGTCTCTAAAGCACCCACGTTAGGGCCAAGCGGCAGGTCAGCCTCGCTCGCTCTCCCAGCCTCCCACGGTAACTATTTGCGGAGCTGTCCAAGTCTGCCTTTTCTTAACGCCTTCGTGGAGTGGCCTCTTTGCTTGTTCTTTAGAGCTGGGCTTTTTTCCCCTTCTCGGAAAGGGAAGGAATCAACCCTTTGAGGAGCGTGAGTAATTCCTTCTCAAAGTCAATTTACTGGCTCTGCAGCCCCGTCAGAAAATGCCTAAGGGCAAGAGTAGGAAGTCAGAAGCCTCTCTCCCTGCCTCCCGCCCCCCCCCTCACCTTTGTGCATCTAAGAGACAACAAGGGGGCAGCTGTTGGGGCTGAGAATTAGGCACCGCCCAGCCCACAGAAATCTGAGACAGCCTCACTCCTGCCAAGCTAGACAGGGCAGATCTCACCTTTCCCCACATGAAACAGAAGGCCTAAACTGCCTCCTCAAGAGCAGATGATGAGTGTTGGGGTCTGTGCAGGGTTTCTTTAAAAGAGAAATTGCATTCAATTCAGTACACTTGTTCTTGCATCCTATAGAAGAATTGCTGTGAGTGTCAGAGGAAATGGGGTTTATCCCCACTGAAAAGCTTTGGGAAGTATAAAGGTGAAGAGCCTTGCTTGGCTGCTGAAATGCCAATATTGTTTCTTGGCGGGGGGGGGGGGGGAGCTGCTTGGGGTCAAAAGAAACTTTGAATAGCTGCTCTGCTCACAGTTCAGCAGACTCACAGCCTGGGTAGCCTTTGCTAAGAAACAGTGTTTTGCTTCCCAGTCTGTGCAAACAATAACCACGTATGCTAGTAGTTTGAGAGGGAGGCACCAGGGAAAAACATGCTTAGAGTTGTGCTCCAGAGCCTAAATTAAGTGTCTTTCATGCACTCTCTCCAGCAAAGGGAAAGTTTGCATTCCAATCAAGGGCAGTCATAGCAGGACCCAGGCTATTATCTTTTGGCAAACCTGGCTCAGTGATGTTAATACATGGTTCATTGGGTGTCCAACCCAGAATATTAGATGAACTGAACCAGTAAACCAGCATTCAGGTATTCGTAAGTAAATGTCACGCAAACACAGCCTATACAAGTAGTCCTTGACTTATGACCACAATTGAGCCCAAAATTTCTGATGTTAAGCGAGATACTTGTTAAGTGAGTTTTACCCCAATTTACATACTTTCTTGACACAGTTGTTAAGTGAAGCAGTGCTGTTGATTAGTTACTAACCTGTTTGTTAAGTGAATCTGGCTTACTCATTGGCTTTGCTTGTCAGAAGGTTGCAAAAGAGGATCACATAATCACACGGTCACGGGATGCTGCAAAGGTCATAACTGTGAAAAACAGCCATAAGTCACTTTTTTTAGTGCAGTTGTCACTAAGTGAACTGTTGTAAGTCGAGTACTACCTGTACAGGCTTATGTTGTGAGAGCATTTACTCCACAGCTCCATCAACCTAGAGGGTGTGTGAGAGAAACAAGTCTTTCTCTGCTGCTGAATGAGAACACAACCAAAGTAGGCGACACAAAGCATTGTACCTGTTCCTGTGAATGCTCCTTAAAGGGGCGCTTCTGGGCCTTGCAGGAAAGTCGTGTGGGCTGCCGGGAAATTAGGATTAAAGTGAAGGAGATAGCAAAAACTATGTCCCTAACTCTAAAACTGTGACTTTGTGATGCAAATCACCCTCATTTGGTTTGGAGCTGAGTGTTGTATTCTTCTGCAATGATTCCCATCCTTGATTCAATAGAAAACTAAACTGATATTGACCACACCCAGTGATGGTTTCTCTCAACTTTGTAGCTGCAGATACCTGACTTTCTTTCAAGGTAAGGAGTAACAAAGGCTCACAGATTTTGCATACAGTGGTGCTGCCCTTGGATAGTGGTGGAGGGTGGAGGAGTTGAGAAAAAAGCATCCTTTGAACATGTATATATTTAAGGATGACTTAAAGATGCTCTCCATCCTGGGGCAGTGGATGTGATACAGGTAATGCCACGAGAATAGACTGGCAGGAGGAAAAAAGATGCTGCCAGAAGATGCTTGTGGTGTAGTTAGGTATAGGGGCTGCCACAAAGAAGAGGGAGTCAAGTTATTTTCCAAAGTGCCTGAAGGCAGAACAAGAAGCAACGGGTGGAAACTAACCAAAGAGAGAAGCAACCTAGAACTAAACTTCCTGACAGTTAGAACAATTAACCAGTGGAACAACCTGCCTCCAGAAGCGGTGAATGCTCCAACACTGGAAGTTTTTAAAAAGAGACTGGACAGCCATTTGTCTGAAATGGTATAGAGTATCCTGCCTGAGCAGGGTTTTGGACTAGATGACCTTCAAGGTCTGTTCCAACTTTATTATTATTATTATTATTATTATTATTATTATTATTATGTGAAGAAAGTCCATTAAGGCAACATTGATTTGGCATAGAGGAGGATTGCTTCACAGCCTTTGCCTCCACCGGAGAACCAGAGGTAGCCAGGTCTACTTCTGGGTGGGCAGAAGTAGACCTGGCTACTGTGATTGTGCAGGTTCTGGGTAGGAAAACTAATCACAGAGAACTACAGTTAAATTCCAGCTGGGGGCAAATTCCATGTCTGCTTCATATCGAAAAGTTCCTCTTTCTGCTAATTCACCAACCATTCACGCCAATCAAATGAAGGCTGAACCCTCATTTGACACACTGAACCTGTAGGGGACTCTTTGAAAGAAATGATGTTTTCTTGAATTATCCCAGGAAAAGATGCTGCTGCTTTAAGGGGTTTCTTGTGGACAAGTGCCATGTTTGGGTATCACTTTGGAATCAGCAGCAGAAAGCAGCCCCAGGCCAAAATAACTTTTGGCCCTTTGCCCTTCAGTCTTAGGACATCACCAGCCCTCACAATGGCTGAGCACATCCAAATTAAGGGGCACAAAACTTCCAGGCCACCATATTTATGTTTTATTTTAGATCGTTTATTTCAACTGTATTTTTTTATATAAGTAACTCAAGGTGGTGAACATAGCTAATACCCCTTCTTCCTCCTATTTTCCCCACAATAACAATCCGGTGAGGTGGGTTGGGCTGAGACTG